TGTGGTAGTCGGGAAATTTTTACCACAGACTCAGTGAATGATGGGCAACAAAATGCACCTTTTAGATTTTCAACAGGATCACTTTCATTTTCTTTTATCAATTGTACAAAAAAGTTGCAATTGACTCGCCTATATAGAATAAATTGATCGATGTTTCTATGGGAATATTGACAATATTTATAATCTGTTTGAAGTTAGAAAACATGTTCTAATTTTAATCTCGCTTTTATTTTGTTAAGGATTTACTTAATAAAAACCGGTATATCGCAGCTCAAGGTCCAACAGAAGAATCATTGAATGATTTTATTCGTATGATATGGGGATTACAAATAACAAGTATTATATGCACAGCAAACGAAATTGAAGGCGGACGAGTATGTTCACTACTTAATTCTCATGTGTTGTTTAATTAATTTAATTTATAATTTTCTATTTATTTAGTATAAATTTAAAAGATATTGGCCGGAGGACACGAATCCGATTGTTAGTGGAGACTATCGAATTAGTAAAGTAAATGATGTGTATACACAAATTAGAAAAGAAAATGATTATTTTAGATTCTTTTTGTTTTAGAATGATTCGCGTGAAAAAACGTTTACATGTAATAACTATGAGATACGACCGTTAACAATTAGTTATGGAAACAAGCAACATCATGTATTATTGTATCACTTTTTACATTGGCAAGATCACGATACGCCCAATGAAGAAGAATCTATTCTCGAACTGTTAGATCGTTTATATAAAGATAGAAACTTAGCACCTGACACTCCGATTCTTGTCCATTGCAGGTATGTGTGTTTTTAAAGCATGACAAAATATATACGTTCTGTATTATTTTTTTATAAGAGAAAGCTTCAAGCATCTAGTTGAGCTGTCGTCTTATTGGTACCCTAAATTATTCAAAATCATTTTCAGTAGCAATCTCATAATGCCCAGTGTTTTCTTCTGAGAAAAGTCAAGCCGTATTCGGATAACTAAATTGACGGGTACAGTGAATGTCGGAGGTGCGTTAGTCTAGAAAAGATTCATTAAAAAGTGATAGTCATTGAGAATAATAACTTTATTTTTCCTTTTAGCGCTGGTTGTGGTCGTACTGGAACTGTTATAGCCATTGATTTATGTCGTACAATAGTAAATGGTGAAGTAAGTTGACTGTGTGAAACTGATCTAAATCTTCCAGCTTACCGTAAAAAGTTCGAAGTTCTGTTCCGAGAGATGGACAACTCCAACAGAAACTGAAGTTGAGCAGATTTTGACTGGAGTTATTCAAACTTTATCAGAGTTAGACTGTGTATCTAGACAATTTCACCACTAATAAAAATACAGCAGTTACGATGGAGTTGTATCAAGAGATGGAGTAGTTGCTAACGGAGTTAAAATCGTAGTTGTCTATCTTTGTTTTGTGCTGAAGAGATTGTAGCTTCGTATCTACTTGCTACATAATTTTCTCTTGTAGGTGCCGCTAAATAGTGAAGAATATCAAACAGAACCTGTATATAAAATAGCAACCCACATTCGTCAATTTCGTATTGCATTAATTCAAACAGTTGTAAGTGACATCTATATACAGAACAGGTAAGATGATTCATTTTTGTTGTTCTTTTCAGAAACAGTATTATTTTGTTTATAAAATGCTTTTATTTATTATAAAAAACAATTCAGGATATTCCGAAGAACAACATTTAAGTTTTGCAAATTATCAAGATACTGATGAAAACTCTGTGCAACAACGTAGGTGTACTGCAATCGTCGTATGCGTATTTTAGCGATACATGCTACAATCAAATATGAGTATCTTCAATGCTTCATCACTATTAATTATAGTATAGACGATGCCATGAGTCAAATTGGAGTCGTTACAATATCTGATTATATTATGTATTTATATTTTATCATACTTTCACAATTGTCTTAGTATAAAGGAAAATTTTCTCGTATAAGTCAGCTTTTTCTGCTTCGTGTTTTAAAGTACATAAATTTTTTTAAATCTACTTTAAACAATTCTCCTACAAAAAAGATTTTTTTTCGATATTCTAGCAACATTACAGGTTACAAGATGATACGGATTGATACGAGTTAGGCAACAATATGTATCGATATTTTCCGATCCCATGCGCAGTAACAATGTAGTACTGAATTTTTTTGTTGTTCAGTAAAAAAACCGTTGAGCAAGTAGGATGAAAGTCAAATAGAAACCGAAATAATTAATGGAACCTTTTTATTTTGCATTCGGTTTTCATGAAAGCAAACATTCATGATATCAAAGGATGCTCGCAAAATGATTTCTATTCCCTACTTAAAATAATTCCCAAAACTCGAGAAAACATAAGGCAAGAGATACAAAATTTTTTAATCACAAGTTAGAAATGTCCGAATGGTTTTATGTCAAGATAAACATTCAATCTCATCAAATTTATAAACTAGATTTTTGTTTTTTACTTTTATCACGTTTAAAAGTTAAAAATTATGGAGATCCTTTTGAAAGACTTACAGAAAACGCGGAGAAAAAAAGACTAAAAGTTTCATTTAAAAATCGACTCCTAATATTTGATGCAGTATCCTTTTCGCTTTCGAGCATAAGAACGATTATCGTTCTACAGTTTACCACAGGGGAGAAGTCTTTGAAATAGTTTGTACTGCTAATTAGATAAGATGCATCCATTTTAAAGGGTTTTTTTGAGGTGCAGTAGGTAAATCACTTCTAACTTTACGAACAAATGTCTCACCAATCTGTACAGCGTCTTCTAAAGAGATACACTTTTCTCTACATAGTGATGTAGATTGTGAAAAAAATCGACTCGATTTTACAAAACTGTAAGATCTTTTAGAAAGCCGTGTGTTTTTATGTTTGAAAAACGTTCTAGAAAACATTATTGTCAAGAGATACTCAGTATTCTGAAAGCAAACACATGTGCCAACTCAAATATATTATTATTACCTAATAAATTATTTTCATTAATTTAGGACATCAAATCTCAAATAAAACATCACCACCATCAAGTTCCGAATATCAACGTCGACGACCTTCTGAACCATCACAAATAATTAGATTACAAAGTGTCCCATTATCACGCCGACGTAATGCAAATGATTCACCATCGCCAACAACTCCAGTTACTCCTGAATTTTTTAATAGTAAACAACCGCCTTTCTCATCTTCGTCAACAACATCAGAAAATCTAGATTTAAATAAATTAAATGAGCTGTCTATCCAATCCCAATCAGTTCTGCCTCAAACAGAACGACAACAAATTCAAGTTAAACTAGATGAATCTATTAAACTAGGTCAAATATCGTTAGGAGGTAATTATATACAACCACGAATGAAAACAAACAAAATGAATAATTCCAAAACAGAACATAAAAAACATAGTCATTTACGTTCAGATTCAGCTGATAATCTAAAAAGCGATACCAACTCTTTTACGGCATAAAAACGTATTGTTGAATTTAATAATCGTTTAAATGTGCCAATATCAACGAATGCTGATTGGAAAAAATCAAAAGATGTTTTATTTTCGAAGAATCATCATCTAACTCATTTAGATAAATCTTTCTCTGTTTCCCGTTATACTTCTTTGGTGCTGCTTCTTCTTTCTTTTGTTGAGCGAACAAACCGTCGTTTAGACCTCTTTTTTTTTGCTTTTTTTTCTTGCTTTTTTAAAAATATAATTGTCCGAAAATACTTCTAACAGTGGCGCTATTTTAAATCAAATCACTCTTTGAACAAATCAAAAACCGTCCTAGTTTTATTTTTTATTTCTCTTTGAACTTTTTTTTTTTACCTGTACTCTGCCTCCCTTGGCAAACACAATTAAATTTCTAGTATCTGTCCCGTCGTGTTAGAGTTTTCTCACACCTCGTTATTTCCTGCACTATTACACGCATTTTACATCAAAAGAAATACTTTTTTATATGTATTTTTACTAAATTTTGTTTGTGATTTGTAAGAACAATCTAAAATGATCGATTTTTGTTTTATTACAAATAGTTTTCTATTCATACCCGGTGAAGAGACGAAGCACGATCCATATAGAAATTTGTTAGTGTATGTTTGATTTGAACAAGTTGAGGGAGACCATTTTGTACGTTGTTTGTAGTTATTTTATTCATGTTTTTTTTAACTGTGAACCTATGTAGGTGTGTTTTTGCATGTTGTTGTCGATTTTTGTTTTTATAGAAAAATGTTGTTTTTCACCAAAACTGGTTTTTTTTTGTTTTTTTTGTTTTTTTTGCTTTGTAATAAATAACTTCATTCTAGTGTCATATTTCCATATAATTAAAATCTCATATAGACAGATTTTGAATTGTTGATATTTTGTTGTAGACTCTAGAAATGAGTTACTTTTTATTCTAATTCTGAAATGATAAAAATAAAATCATTCGATCTCTTAAAACTTCATATATTATTTTAGATAATGCAACACAATATAGTACTAACCGTCTGATTATCGCTGTTTGAACAGTAAAAATGGGTAATTGTGCAAATTGTGTTCAAGCCCAACATTCTCCTCCAACATCTCGACGTTCAACAACATTATCGAATCGTCAACAACATCATACATCTTCAATACCAAATTATAATCGTCGTTCATCTTTATCATCCTATTATAATCCTAATTCTATTAATTTAGATGATTTGATATTAGAAACACTACATTTAATTCGAACTGTTGTAGACACAGATCAAGAACCACGTGCCATGTTAATTGTATCAAGAATCGCAAATAGAGAAGATAATTGGATTGATGTTGTGAATGCTCTTATTGAACGTATTCCATTAGATGATCCTTTAGGTCCAACAGTTAGTAAGTAATTCATTCATTAGAAGATCATTTCAATAATCAGATAATTTTTATTATATTTGAATCTTTTAGTTGCCCTATTATTAGATGAATGTTCATTACCATCTAAAGAACTTTTACAACAATTAATTCTAAGAATATGTTCAAATAATCATTTAAGATGTAAAACAATTACATGTATGATCCAAGATCTAATTCAAACTGAGCAAAAACAAAAATCAATTATACCATCGATTGAAAATTGTGTTGGTCATGTGAATAGTAGTCATGATGCATTGGTACCACTGAAAACAACGGGCGATGATGCATTGATGTATTTGAATGATACACAACAACAACAGTCTAAGTAAGGATCAGTAAAAATACAATAAGGGAAAAGAAATATCGAAGATCTGCTACATAAGTCGAATTGTTTTCGATTATGAAATATTATGTTTAGGATTTCTCCTGTCAGAAATCTATTTTCATTCCAGAACAGCCGATCTTTATAAAATTTTCATAGATATGTTTTATTCTAGAAGGATGAGATTAATGTTTTGAACTCGAAACGTTAAGTTTTTTTAATGTTATCCTAAAAATAAGGGTCAAAAAGTAGATGTTTGTGCCGCAAAGATTTTTTTGCTATTTCAAGTGATAAAACGGTAGGAGTAGTCTCAAAATGTAGCCAAAACTTGACGTTTTAGCACTCAAAATTGCCGTACAACGCACTATAACGGAAGAAAATAATTTCGAGACAAGCGTCATGGTGTACTTTAGACCTTGTAGAAAATGCTTGTACATTTTAACAGACGGTTACACTGAGTTGTACTATATTTCATTTTGCCTAGAAGAGTTTGGTCTACAAATCTACATATGTTTAGAAAATAGTTTGATTACATAAGTATCTAGAATTCGAATATTTTATTTTTCGAGATTTTCAAAAACTTCCTCTGAAACCACCAAAATGCCTCTATGTGGGTCAGAAAGCGATAAAAATTCTGAAAGTACACACTTTGGACTATCTGATCATGTATAAATCTCAAAATAAATATGTTTGACGAAAATTGACGGAATCTGATACATTAGTTCTTACCGTATCATAGTGTTTTGTATTTCAGGACAAAAGTACATGATTTTCCATCTCTACCAAAACAAGAAACTGATGAAAATGATAGTCATGAATATTCTCTCCCATCTCCTTCATCTTCTTTTAAACGATATTTATTAAAACGATCGTCTAACACAAGTTCTGATCATGATACTAATCGTAAATTATCATACAGTAAAAATGATAATCAAACATGCAGTATTGATTTACATCGTGAAAGAAATACACTAGTTGTACTCGGATGTTTAGCCGAAAAACTTGTTGGTCCAACAAGTTCAGCAATGTTAAATACACAAGCACTTGATTACATTATTGATCGCGTCTATATTGGAATATATTGCATGAATGTCATAAAACCGCATAATAATCAACAATACAATGGAATATTGAAAACGGTTTTATTTGCTCTAATTGCAATAGAAAAATTTTCTCAAACATCAGAATCGAAACATATATTATTAAATGCAATGACAGTCAAAAATGATAATGATGGTGAAGATTACCATGATTATCAACAAGAGGGGTTAAAAAAAACAGAAAAAACTGAAGTTGTTTTGGAATATTTTGAGCAATGGTGTACATCAACAGACTGTCTTAAACGTCAAATAGGATTTTATGCACAATGGTTATTGGATAATGTATTTATATTGAAACATCGTCGTTTCAGTTATGAAAATATCAATTTAAAATCGATTAATGTGATGTTAAATGATAAAGATGTTAGTGAATATCTAAAAATCGGTCCAAATGGACTTGAAGCACGAAGGTACGTTCACAAAGAAGGATCTATCTTATTTATATAGCGATTATTTTTTTCTTTTCAGTGATACTGTGTCATTTGAAAGTGTTCGTTGTACATATCACGTCAATAGCGATTGTTGGTATTATGAAGTATTAATTGTTACAGATGGTGGTAAGTATGGCGACGTCATGGTATAGTTAGTTAGTTAGTTAGACCCGCTACCATTTCTGGTGTAGGGTGAGAATAAAACATCAGGAAAAAAATAACACAAAAAGAAAAGAGTGTTCAATTTGACGGAAGTAGTGTTCGTTTCTATTGAAAATTGAACTAAGTTAATTATCAAGATACCACCCTCTGTAATCAGTTTAAGTGATACCCATCATT